ATCCTAACAAAAATGATATATTGTAAATTCGATAATAGTATGTTTTTTCTTAGTTTCTTTTTTAATTAAATTCATACAAAGCATATTTTTATGTAATTTTAACATAAAAATCACATCAATTATTTTGTAAATTGAATTGTAATTAAATTAATACTTACTACGGCAAAATCATTTTTAAATAAATGTAAAACTCGATATTTGGAACAGTGTATATACTTTTGATAATTAATATAAAAATATTGTGTTATGATTTGAAATAAAATATGGAAACTAGAAATAACGTACAATAAATACTTATATAAAAACAATAAACCATAAGATTTCATATTGTAAATATAATTTATCGAAATATTATCGTTATTCAATACAAGAGATAAAATATTATTCATGTTTTAACTCAGTGATATGATATTATGACTGTCTGGTGCCTGCAGCTATATCAAAAACAAACATATATAGTTGCTATTTTAAGAACAAAACGAACAATTCATTGACATTCATATTATTTTTATCAGTTGGATTAGAAAAAGAAAATATTTTGTTGTTTAAAGACGGTTCTTATTAAACATAAATCACTAATGCTAATGCATCTAGATAAGGTGTTTATTATAAATATTGTGTTATAATGTATAACTTGCATGAATTATTCAAAAAATAAGTTGTCAATTTGTCAATGCGTGATTTATTATTCGTAATATATTTTATTTTATTAGCTGACTGACAGCATAATTATTTGTATTTTACAAATAATTAGAAGGTAAAAGAAATTCGAGGGATAAAAAAATCAGAAAAGAAAGTTTCTAAAAATGATTTGAAGTTATGAATAAAAAAATTTTAAAATTAATCTCAATGTATAGTTTCACAATTACTAACTTTTAATGGTAGTTTCAAAGTAATAAAAATAAAATAACAGTTTTAACTACCTATATAATATTACTATTTTCTACAAAATAGCTTAAATTCGTTGTATCTCTATTCTCTGTCTAGGACTGTTGCGGTATTAGTGCTTTAAAAGTGTTCGTTTTATAATGATTGGTTGGTTTTGGCGTGGTTTACTTTATTTTAAAAATCTAAACAAGTTCTTCAGACGAATGAAAAAATAATAGAAATTTAAAAAATAAAATAAAATATAACCATAACGTGATCAATGATCATTGTCTATCCGTCTTTGAAATTGAATAAACGTCGTACTAAACAATATCGCGGGACAGCATGTGTCAACTTATTCTACAAGCTAGAGTAAACAGACATGTTATAATATTTTCTCGTAGAATTTTAACGCTATGTTTTAACCAGTTAAAATATTAACCACAGCTATAAGTCATTACACTACGCAAACAGCATTTTGTGTTGTTAATTGTCTTTGTCGACTGTAGTGCACGCAAACGACCGTCATTCAGGAATTTCCTGCGATGTGCTTACCGCCATTGCCATAATAATATTAATAGTATTTCCTTGTCATGAGTTAGTTTTGTCGGCATGTAGAACAACGTAGAACACAGTGCATAGCGTTCATACAATAGCATAATAAAAATGTGAAAATGTTTGTGTATCGCTAAAAATTTAAAATTATTATTATTTTTGTTATTTCTGTATTGCGCAGTTTAAGTGTATGTATATTAAAAGTAAATTAGTTTATTTACATATGATATCTAATTTTCTTAACCAAATATATCGAATTCGTAAAAAAAAAAAAAAAATAGAAGTTATCATTTATATCACAACATAATAGTATTAAAAACACTACAATACAGATGCCAGATCAATCGGTTTCGATCAAATAACTACAACGTTACAAAAATATTGCACTATCACGAGGTCGTCACTGATCGTACCCCGGTGCGACACGACAATTGCATAATATTAAAATATAATATATATTTTAAATACAACAGGTTAGGATTATTTGTAAATCAGTGGAGAATTTTCAGTAATAAATATATGATATGATTTACTGAACACGCTAATTCCCAATTTTTTTTTATTTAATAATGGATTTATTATTCAAATTATAATTTATGGAATTTTTAAACAATATACCGAATATAAATATAATAGTATTATATATGACATTTATAAATTAGTAAATTAGTACAAATATTTCTAAAATTTTAAAATTAATACAACCCATAATATATTTCACTAAATCTAAATCTATTAACTCATTATCCTTAGAGTTCACAAAAACTACTTGTTCGAATTTTGATTTTAGTACGTTGACATTTTCAAAAAAAAAAAAATATATATATATATCTGCTTAATAATTTAGAATAATAGGAGTAGGTATTATTTGAAAAAAAAAGTCCACAGGAAACTTTTTAAGTAATAAAAAAAATTTCAAGAATTTGAAAATATGATCTTTAAGCATATTTAAAAATTCCAAAAACCAGATTTTAAATAATTATATTATTGAAAAAATAAACTAAAAAAGATAATTATCATTATTTAATCACCTCGTATACCTATTACATGAATAAAATTGGACGTTATATTAAATACGTGTGTGAAATATTTCTTTGATTAAAGTTTTAGTTTTAGTTCTAGTTTTTTTTTCTTATTTTTTTCCATTTGGTAAGGTGGGTCCCGTCAATGCATGTCAGTCTAGTTTGTTGTCTACCTCTACGTGCTGTAAAAACAATTCAATTCCATCGTAAAATAAAAACGACTGCATTATATATTTTTCCCAAAAATACCAATGTTTTATTATTTAATTTGAAATAATACTTAAAATTAGGTGGGTAACAAACGTATGTGTTTCAACGATGCACTGTTTTTAGCGTGATTTCAGTACATTATAAACCGATCATTTCATACAAACAACAACATATTATAATATTATACGATGATAAATCGTAATTTCTCAACAAATACTGACGTAAAACAGAAAAAATAATACCTGTAAAAATATGAATTGTCGTAAATTCAAAAAATACCAATTCTCTCAGTTTGTCTTAAAAAATATGATTTAGATAAATTATAACTTTTCAACAACCATAAAATATTATATTAAAAATATTGATATACTGTACATTTTTTTTTTTTTTTTAAGTCCTTTTTGATATCATTTTACTATTAATGTTAATGAGTTTTCAGATTAAAATATATTTATATATAATATATACATATATACATACATATATTAATATTTAAGTAGAATTTAAACAATTAATAATGGATCAAATGATTAGAAAATAATTGTCGATATTTAGGTAAGTCAGATCGGTTTATATCAGAGTTATTACAAAATATTACATAAATTAATAATTATACGATATTTAATGCTTAATACTTTATTATTTCTTATTTTTATTTGGTTTATTGTTTGTAATTAACTTACCTATAATATTTAAAACTGTTAATAACTAATTAAATTTTCATTTTTCATGCAAAAGTTGAGAAAGTTTTTAAAAATTAAATTTAAATTAGTTTATAATATAATCACAAAATTAAAAAAAAAAAAAATATGGTAGTAAAGAGACATTAAGTTTTTATGTATGTTTTAAAATAATACAAACATATTATACATTTAAAAGATTATTCTGTAGTTTATTGTTTTAATTTTTTTTTTAGTTAAAAGGCTAAAGCACACTCTTAAATTTTGTACAAGGATTCAAGTTTACTTTTACAATAAACTAAAAATCTTTTCCAAGACTTCTTTGATTGCATAAAAAAAAGTTTCTTTTAATTTCAAATATTAATTTAATCTAATAACATTTAAATACTAACATAAATCCAAAAGTAGGATAACATACTGGTAGTAGTAATAATAAACTACATCATGACAAAAAAAAAAAATAATAAATACTCACTCGTAATCGACATTTTATAGAAGAATAAGTTTTAATATATATTTTTAATAGTATATCTATACTGCAGGGCTTTTATAATAAACTTTGTTTTAATGCAATTTAATAAAGATATTGTTATATTCGTTGGGGGTAATTGAAAAAATTCCTCACTTTCAAAGTAGTGATTAATCCTTTTGGTTTTTACACGTACCTACAAAAAAAAAAAAAATCGACTTACGAACTTTAAAATTTGTATATTGAGTAATAAAATCATAAATTATATTAAATTGAATGTATATTAATTAAAGATTCTTTGAAATATAGATTAAATTAAGTAAACCGGTTTTTTATGCGTAAAATTTACAGTTAATATTGGATTAACTTATTGAACAAAACATGATAGTTTTAAAGTTTTATAAAATAAATCTTTAATCAAACATCTCTAATTTAAAGTCACGCCACTAAATATAGTTTTTCGTAATATAATACTTGAAAAAGCTAATAATACCTACTGGTTCATTTTTAAACTGTTATAATTTTACTTCAAATGTAATTAATAAAAATATAGACGAATTAAAATATGATATATACAAATATGTATATATCTAAAACATAATTAAGTTAACTAATATATTAATACTAAACTAATATTATATCATTGCATTTTTATAATAAATACATATTTCTAATAAGATAATTGTCTTTTAAAATATTACGTAACTGTCAACGTTAATAATAGTCTTAAAACAATATTGTTTTATATGTCTATAAAAATTCTCGTCAAAACAAGCAGTTTCAAATTAAGTATGAAACACGATAGAAAATATCACTCAATGATTTATAGATTTGTAATTTAATTATGAATTAATCCCAAACATTTAAAAAAAAATAATCAACAGATATTTTCTTCTAATCAATTATATATTATTAAATTAAATAATATAATAGATTAAGCAATTTATGAAGTAATCGTATAAAAAAAAAAAAATAGAATATTATGCTATATAAATTTGTTTATATTGATTTCTCAGTTTTATAGAAAATTATTACACATGATATAGGTAGCTAAACGTAGAATTGTATTTATGTTATTTTTTTAAAATAGACGATATCTATTCTCATATTTTATATGATATAAAATATTGCTTTAATAAATTTTAAACTTTTAATTATTTTTCAATATCTCACTACCGATTAACTATTGATACTTACCTTAGAATAATATTACGGTACAATTTATTTGAAATAATTCTCCAACAGCGCGCTGAAGTCCAGTAGACGCGTTAGAGTCAACATGTGTCCGTCCTGATACTGAAGAGCACTTAAAAAGCTTTGGCGCCGGCAAACCGTAGCATACCCCCAAAATACCGTTCCACTCCCACTCGTACCATGGAAACGCTATACGCCTATCCCGTTGTTGAGGATAAAACAATATTATACATCTACGTATATATATCAAGTTTTTTTTTTTCAAAACACAAAATCAAATTTATCGAAATTGAAAAATTTGTTAACATTTTTTATTATTTAATTATTTATTTAAAATTAAAAACGTAATTAACCTTGATATAAGTATTGAGTCTGCAACAAATTAATGTAAAATATAATAAATTATATATTTACAAAATGGAATTATGACTAATTAATGCACTATATCGTTATGTATAGTATTTAAAAATTAAATCGAAAAAAAAAAGAAAGTATATATATATATATATATTATATATAATGAATTGTACTTATTTTTTTAATATCATGTACATTATGTCACCTTAAAAAAATAAATATGTAGGTATCTACTATCAGAGATTAGTTTTTTGTTATATATTAATTAATTTAGCAAAACTTCACAAAAATCGAATAGAAAATTTACATATTGATATATTTTTGTTGGTTTAGCCCATCCTCGTGTAGATACTACCGACAAATTTAAATCGTACAAGTCAAGTACCAAAAAAATACTTTTGGAAATATTTTTACTATGCTAGGAATATAATATTCATTGAACAATTAAGTATTGTTTCTAATTACTTAAATGAACGTATTAATTTCAAAGTGATGTGTATTTTTTTAGTCTCTCTATCATCAGCCGACTTTTTTCACTTTGTGGAAGTAATACTTTACTTTAATTATATTAGTAAGATGCTCTATTTCTTCCTAATTTTGAATTTAAAAAACAGGAACAAAAAAATTATATTTAGTAAATATAAGTGATATGCATAGTGAGTAAAAAAGTACCTATAATCTTATTTAATTTTTTAATTTTTTATATGTTTTATTCACAATTTAAAATATTGTACTATTCGTATCACTTTTTAAATAAAAAAACATCGTTAAGAAATAAAATAGAATGAACGGTTTGGCATTATTCCATTGTCATAAAATTATTATGATATAATTAAATGAAATTATCAATATACTTACATAAACAAAATAAAAGAAACATTGATATTGTGATTTAATAATTTAAACCAATAACTAACTATCTTATTATTATTATAAATACATTTATAATATATATTAATCTACATTTTCAGCTAGTAATTTTAGTTTAACTTACCTACCCCATTAAAGTATGTCTTTTCTAAAATGATCATTTATATTAAAATACTCATAATAATTGTTTTTTTTTTGTTAAATGATAATTATTATTTTTTTAAATTTTATTTGGAATAGCAGTTATATTTATTCAACAATTAGAATACTTTTCTTGTATATCAGATATGTACATTACATATTTAATTGTTATTTAATTATTATTTGATACTTACATTTTTATTTGACTACTCGAAAGAGTATTTTTGTTCAAGAAAATTAGCTTTAAGTAACTATTTGCAAAATGTTTTTAATTTTAAATCGAAATAAAATACAATTCATATTAAACACGTAAAATAATAGTTTTATGTCTTATCGCAGAATGCAAGGAAAAACTCTTTTAAATGGGAATCGTCTTTTGGTAGCAAAAATACATGGTTATGTTCAAATTATATACTTAATAATTATATTAATTTAATCATTAAAAATAAAATTCAACATTCTACTTCAAATACAAATTCAAAAACTAATTATAATCTGAAGTTAAGTTGAATAAGATAAGACCATTATTTAACAATATTAACAATATTATATTCTATCATAGGTCTTCAAAGAAATATACTCGCTAACATTTATTGTTTTGCATTATTCATCTATTATCTTCGTAACGTACAAACTACAAAGTTCGAAGTTACTGATGGTTATATATATATATATATATATTTATATATTAAGACTGTTTAACTTTTTTCATACTATCTAGGTTCAATAAATGTATTGAATAATATTTTACGATACTTTACAAACTTTTTCATTATTTAAGTATAGTAAGTGTATAGTTTATACTATTTATTTTGAGCTATGTATAATATATTAATATTATAAAATTTAATTTATTTTAAATTTTGACTTTATTTTCTATAAGTTCTAAGAAAATTTTTGGGATAAAAATTTTGCTCAAAATAATAATTTTTCTTATTTTTAAATCTGGTCAGTATTCTGCGTACTAGTAAATGATGTAAGACGATTTTCCTTCTCCCTCTTCCCCCTTCATTAACCAAAAACCTACTTCTTCCTTACTTTCTGTCCGCCTTTGTTTTTTTCTTTAGTTCAAAAATACTTTCTAAGTATACTTAATGTTTAAACGTACCATTATCATAAATTGTACGTGAAAATGTTTCATTCACACTATCTATTATATTCCATGGTTTGTTAGTTATTTATTAGACAGTAACAAAAAGTGTTATATGAAAATGAACTCTGCAAAGAAAATAAGCTTATACATTTTGGAAAATAAATAACTTAAATGTATAGGTACATATACTAACTATTATATTTTTATCCAACACGATGGAATGTATATAACTTAAAATAATGTCTATGGACCGTAACTATTAGTATCTAAGCAATACAAGTCCGAATTCGTTGTATAGAACTTATAATACTACTTCAAACATTAATACATTTTGAAGTAGTATGGTACTAAATAATAATATAAATCAACCTAATTTCATAAAGTAAAAAAACATTATCAATTGCCTGACTTGACTTTTCAAGAATTCAGAATGTATTTAGATGCATCTAAATAATTAGATATGTATTTATATTTTATATATTGGATATAATAATCATAGAATAATAGGTGATTTAAAATTAATTAATATTAATGTATAAAAAATTATATTTTAATTACGTTGTTCTTTCTAATTTCTACCGATATTTAAAACATGCATATATAATATTACGCAAGTTATAAAACATTGCTTAAAAATATCAATAGTACCTTATTTAGTTAATTATAACAGTATTTTATACTTATTTTACATACAATCTATAATGAATAACGTATACTTTTGTTTGATACAAAATATTAACAAATAAAATACGATATAATAGTCTTAAACTGTTCAAATAAAAGATATACAATTTAGTATAATGAAGTATCTACTGTGAAAAATGCTTATAATTAGACATTGTACAATAAAAATTTTTAGATACTTAATATTGTATTGCAAACTTATTTTCTTAATATAGATTATTTTTTGGATAATTATTATGACCTTATGATTCAAACAATCGTAAAGTATAAAAATATGTATCAACTTTTTCATGTTTTTTGAATTAAAAAGCTATTCATTTTTAAGATACCATACTTAACTGTTATGTGACCTAAGTCAAACATTTGTGCTTACTTTAATTGTATATATTATTTATAATAATTTTTTTACCCTATAAATATTTAAGGTATTTTAATACTTTTAACTTTAATATGGTGGGAGACCCAAATGAGGTATTAGATTTTTACTATTTATATATAATATATATTATACTATTACTGAGTAATAACTATAATTATAAATAGTGTATTATAATTCAATAAAATGTTATATGATTTTAATATATTTTTTAGTAATTTCAAGTATATTATTATTAGTTCTAAAAAAACAGTATAAGAAATTCACAAAAACTATATTATACAAACACAAGAAGTAAAGAATAAATATATTTTACATTATTTGAACACTTAAAACAACAATTATTTAAAAATATTTAAAGTATTTGAGATTTTATTCAAGATTTAAAAATACGAATTTCAATATTTTTCATCCATATTTGTAGAAACATCTCTTGTGTTCAGTAATGAAAACTATTCGAGTACAATATAAGGTATAAATCATTTTTTTACGTTATAATTAATCTTCAATGTCACAGCGAAATATGCAATCAAATTATACATATAGCAATATATACTTGCATTGCAAGTTTATATTTAAATGTGTATGTATCTACTTATCTTATACGAATCAAGTATTCATGCATTCCATAAAATATAAAACAATAAAAGAAAATTTATTTTCATTTTAACTACTTATATTTATTTAATACCTTATAACAGAGTAATTTTATTTATCGGGTTTCACATATAGATTTTATGTAAAATTCAGTAAATTGAGTTTTTATGGATTATATTAGCTATACTTTTAGTCAAATGCATATAAAAGATATTTCTGGAATAAATTTGTTGTATTCAATTTATAATGTTAAATTTAAATCTATTCGATTATATAGAATAATTCATTAACGCGGTATTTTGCCCTTATTTTTTGTGCATTTGATATTATCATCACTATTCACGAAACATGTGATAATATTAATTTAAAAAAAAATAAGTTACAATATCTTCACAAAAAACTCTTTAAATAGTATACAAAATATAAGTATTTGAAAATATGGAACTTAATAGTATACTCAAAAATTCTAAAAACCATAATTTGAATAAATTAATAATTAAAAGAAAAATAAAGGTCAGTATGCTTGATGAATCACTTTCTGTTTAATGAGTATATAAATATTATACAGCTTTACTACTATTTATAAAACTTATTTAAACAGCTTTAGTCTGTCTAGCGTTATAAATCTTTAAACAATCGGTTCCGTCAATAATGCAACATTTAATTCTCTCATAATTTGAATAAATAGCCTTTGGTCATAAAATAACATCTTATGAACTGAATTTGAAGCCAACGTGGTTTTACTAATCATAATATATGGCATCTACTTTGATATTAAACTTCAATAGACTTAAACATTGTTATCTAAAATACCTTTGTCGAATAATCAAAGTACTTCTATTGGTTCAAATATAATACATTATATAGTGACCATTTATACCTAAAGCTATTTTCGCTATATTCTATTTGACCATTACAAAAAATATCTGACCTATCCATTTGTAGTTTCCCAAGTAATACCAAAAAACGTTCAAAACACAATTGGTGTTGTGACCTTAAAGTGACTAAAATTAACCACTCAATGCTATAAATTCCATCAATATATGGTTAGGTACTTTACTTAAGTTTCAAGAGTATATAATACAATATTTATCATGTAATATATATATATATATATATATATTGTATAATATTTACATAAATAATAAAAATAAAAACTTTTTGTTATTCGTTTTTGGATTTTACACTGGAAAATTTTGAATTTTCATAGATATTATACTCGTACTTATTAATAATACTGTCAGTTTTTCTCGATCATTAGGAACATTATTGTATTAATAATTTGTCGTCATTGGTAATAAAGCCTTCTAATTCTTTATACAGATTCTGAATAAAACCAAAAATGTTTTCCTTGGAGCTATTTGTACAAGATTTCATCTAAAAATAAATTATTGGTGTTATTATATTATTATAATTTAACTGATTTAAATATGCTGATAATTTAAAATAATTATAGAATAAAATATTGTATATTAGTAAAAGAAAGGTATACGCTTATGACTTTGACATACATTCACTATAATATCTACGTTCGTTATTTTTCATTATTTGAAAATTAAAATTTGTGATTGTTTCGTTAATTTAAAAAGTAGAATCTCACAATAATGATCGCTTAAAAAAAAAAAAAAATTATTAGGAGGGCAAGCTTTATTACAAAATAGTAAATACTATTATATAAATAGTTAATAAATACTTTTATCTGGCCTGTTTAACTGTATATATGGTTACAGTTGCCAAACTTAAAATTAAATAAAAATTACAATTAAGCCTATCATTTCATCAGTAAATGATAATTTTTTGTATAAATAAATGTGTATTTAAAAGCATTAATTTGTTCCTAGGCTATTTTCTTTTAAGTCTTCTCGATGGGTTGCTGAGAATGGCAAAATAGATAAATATAATTATACCAAGTGCCAACATTTTTATAGACACATTTTATATGATTTGATATTTTTTATAAGCTAATACCTAAAAAATTAAAATTCATAAAATATTAAATAAATTTTGATTTTGTAAATAAGACGCAAGCTGCATCTGACAATGACTAGAACCACATATGGCTCGCGAGCCGCAAGTTTGTCACTTATGAACCTTAGCTATATATAATTTTATAACTATTTGTTTGATATTATATTTAATATATCAATAATACCTCTTCCAAATGAACCGACGCTTCCTCATAAACATTTAACAACGCGTCCTCGGTTTTCCAAATACGATGATTCAGCAATTGATTGGCAGACCGAATTTCATTCAACTCCACTTGGACAGCGTGCAAGTCGCGGTCCACGACTTTCAATTCAGCTTTAGTACCGTCAACTTTGATCACGTGAATCATTCGATCCACGTGGCATAGTGTGTCTGTATTCGGCCGCTGTACTTCTTGCAAATCTTTAGTGTTTATCAGTTCGCTTTCCAAACTTTTCACTTTCTGTCGAATATTTTTAGACCATTAGTCAATGTATTACTATAACGATATATAAAATAGGAAAAATAATATATTTATATGCAATTTTTTGTTAATTAATATTTTATATTTGTAAATTAATTGGAATTTTACCAAATATAATAAATATATACAAAGCATTATAGATATTGCAGATAATGTGAACTGTGAATAAAATAATTAGGTAAACATTTTTATCTAATGATTTTTATTATTATGATTATTATTATTAAACGTAACTTATATGTTATATCTAAGTACATAAATAATAATTATTCGTTCGACTTTTTAACATTTATTTTCAATTAAAAAAAAAAAAATTAAAAAAATTCAATCGGTGAGTGTATCGCCTGTAAATACGTAATTATATCATTATTCCTTACGTTTTTAATAAAATTAAATTGTATTTTTTCTACACTAACCGCATAAACTTATTATGCCCCTAAGGTATAGGTTATTTATTTCAAATATAGAAAAGAAAAAAATGTTCAGTTATCGATAAAAAAAAAAATGTAATATTTTAAAACAAGAATTCAATAAAATATAGCTATTTTTATATAGTTAATATTTAATAATATATAATATTATATATAAGTTTTTAATTTTATATAATTTATAAAACTTAATAATAATATATAAAACTTGTTATATTCATATTTTTGTCTTAGTAATAATAATTTTTTTTACGAATTCTGTCTTTTTTTTTACAATCATATTATTTATTGTAAAAAGCTGCGGAAAAGTTCACTGATCGTAACCCTAACCTCATTTAATTTAAATTGATATTGAATTTTTTTATGTATAATTAAAATATCTCACACACAAAATTTTAGTTACGATTAAATTTCTATAAAAAGTTTTTGTCTATGACTATATTATCTGCATGACTATGATTATATATAGATGTAGGTGTATATATAAACTAAAAACGATTTAAGTAACAAAAAAATATTATATACCTGCAATATTAGTTTTTATAACAATTAACCATGTACACGATAAAAGGGTAGATGATAATATTATACAAGAAATATATTCTCTTACATAGTTAAGTATAAAATATAATCTATTAAATATTTATGTTTAATAGAAAAAATAAATTTTAATCATTATGATCTGTAGACGATTCATTAATTTATATTATTATTATAATTCAAAATCCATTAAATAAATCAAAAATGTATATAATAACTAATGTTTATGATTTGTGTAGCTATTAAAAATTCTCCATAAATTATTCAATTTAATACACACAGTGATATATTAACCAAGTTCATTTTCATCATCTTCTAAGGATTTATTCAATTTTTGATTTTTTGATTTACAAATTTAAAGAATAATAATAACTGTATTAATGATAATACAAACACAATTTTTTTAAATAAAAACTATTATTTTTTACTTTAAATTCAGATGTTTATAATTTAACTCAAATGTGTAGTTTTTGAAATTTTAAACTTTACTAGGATACTAATATTTTTTTATTTATTATAATATAGTACTTATTACAATAGAAATATTTACAAAAATAAAAATAATTTAATGTAAAAATGATATTACCATCACATCAAGAAATCTTCTAAATCTATTTATATGAAATATAGTGGTCGCCGCTTAATGTAATCACTTTGGTACGGGACATTACTGATAACATAATCCGATTGATAACATTAAACGAAAGTTAAAAAAGTTATAAAAAATATTAAAATCTACGTTAAATACATGGTTAATAAAAATATAATTTTTTTATTTATTATTATTTATAAATAAATAAAGTACATATGTAGGTATAAATTTGAATTTTAAAATTAAAAAAAAAAAAAATTAAATGTAAATAAATAAATATATATAATATGTATGTACACCACTAACATTTATATCTTTATTACAATTTTTATCTTTATTATGAGACATTCGACGAAAAATTTGATTGTATGTTACAAAATTATGATTTTATGAACTCAAACTGATAATATTATGCGGCGTATTGATTACAAAAACCGACATAATTTACACATATAAGTATAGATCCGGCCCGTACTTACACTTTTCGATAACAATAAACGATTGATAACATTAACCGTGATTATAATAAGCGGAGACCACTGTATTATGTTTAGTAAATTAAGTTTTAAAACTATCCATCCAAATTCTTATATAAATCTATAAACAATAAACATTTAAAAAAATAGTGTCTTATTTACAAAAAAAGGGGCAGTTTTTGATTAAAAAATATAATTTATATTCGTATTTTCTACAGGAGCCACTTTTTAAATTATTTAGAAATCTAAGTATTTAAAAAATATAGTATCTAAGTCTTGATTAAAATTCCAAAAATTAAAATTTATGTAAAGAGGAAAAAATAGATAAGCATGCTCGGTGAATCATTATATTTTTAAAAAAATATTATCAATACGATTTGGAATTATAATAATTAATAACAATAATATGATGATATGATGGTGTGCTGAAAAAAATACAACTAAGCTTACATTTTTCTTCTTCGAATAACCATCAACATTTTTTTCATTTATGATTTCTCGGGTTGATTTCAATAATTCTTTAAGTACTTTATTTTCCTCTTTCAAATCTAGACATTTTTTTTCATAAATTTCATGCTGTTTATTACCCATGTTCAACTGTAATAAATAGAAACGTATTTTATTATCAATACCTGCAATATATAAATATAAGACGTACCATTTCATGAAGATCAAGGATCTCATTGGTACTTGCTCCCTCAACAGGACATTCAACCATCAGTGATTGTTTTTTCATGTGCACTGAAAAATCTACACATCGCTTTAACATGTTTCTTTTCGAACTAAAATGTAAATAAATAATATTTATTTGGAACGCTTACCAAGTATTAAAATAACATTGGAATATATAAAATCTATTACTCACATTTGTTCACTTATAAATTTATTCTCTTTCATATTTTTCAATGTAATCTCATAATTTTTATCCATGATTACATTTTGTTCTTTCATATTTATATATTTCTGTTCAAGTACTTTTTCTTGTTTGGTAAATTCATCCAACTTATTTAATCTTCCCACTGATTTGTCAAAAAATATATTTATTTCATTTTACACAATGTGTAAAAGTTTTTACGTTGACATATTTTATTCGTACAAAATATAATATTAATAATATGTTTTACAATTTACAATATGTAAGTACTACCCACCATATATAGCAGTAATCGATTTATGTTTTCCAGCTTCTCTAATGAACTCATCATTTTTTTTTTTTAATTTACTTATGCTTGTTTCTACCATAAAATCAACTTCCTATATAAATATTTATAATAATTGTAGTTAACACAAAAAGAAGTATTCAAATTTTAAAAAACACAAAATAAGTGGTTAAACTTGTTTTAACTGAGCCGTTTCCGCCTTTAATAGTTTTTCAAAATTATTTTTTTCGTCCAAAATATTTTTTAAATATTCATAATTATCTTTCAATTTGATACTCAAACGATAAGTTTTACTTTTGAACTTCTCAGTTTTCTTTTTAAAATTATTTATTTCATCACTTAACCTGTATAGTATATACAAATAAAATTTTCAAAAAATTCCAACTTTAGTAACTAACAACTATCTATATAATTTTAAACCTGGAAATAATTTTTTCTTTAGCATCAAATTGGATTTTAAAAAATTTCTTGCCCACTTCATTAATTTTAATTTTATCTTGATTCATTTTTAATTTACTTATCTGAAGTATAATAGCTGTTAATTTGAGTGAAATCTAAAAGCAAATATTCAACACAGTTAGTATCTACGCTTATAAACTATAAATCATTCAGTTGACAACCGAACAAAATAAAATAAATAATCTAAATTAAAACTGTAAACATATTGAACACATTTAAAAACACGATCCAGGTATGCAAAATTCAAAAAATGTTAATACAAATAATGGTGATATGTTTAAAATAAATTTACACAAATATAATTTTATCTTTATTTAATTTATAATACCTATTTTCTAGTATTTATTTATATTTATACTTTATATTTATTACCAAGTATACTTAAGTACCTATAGAGTGTAGACCAGTGGTGGCCAACATGAATAGGTTCACAGACTACATGAATAAATGCAATGATACCAAAAGCCTAAACGTTTATAGATACATTTCATGTTACTTATATTTTTTTATAAATGTATACCTAAAAAACTTAAAATTCATAGTTATGGTAATAATAATAATAATAAGAACAACATTTTGATTTTAAATATAAGACACAAGCCGTATCTAACAATGACGAGAACCACATGGACTCACGAACCGCAAATTGGTTACCCCAAATAAAGACTATAGTACTTACCATTTACTGGTTAGATTAAGTTACTTTATGCCATTGTATTTATATTGTATATATAAATATATATAAAACTGAATAGTATTTAAAAAATATTTGAATTTACAAAATTATTTAAATAAATATAAAGTATTTTCAAAATAAACCTCGATGAGTTTGACTTATCTAATTAAAATGAATACTTTGTAAATTTATTTAGGTAATTAATATAAAAATGTATTCCATTATATGCAAATATATTTATAGTATTTTCGTATGAGTTATTCTTGAATGACTCTGGAAATCGCTTAATAAAAATATAAAATAATATACTCATTAAAATATGTTATTTTATTAACTGATAAATCATAGAATTGTATATTTTTTGTGTAAATTATACATATATAGTTCAGAGATCCATTAATATATCATCTATAAGTTAGTATTATAAAATGTGTACTATTTAATATTTTTTTACGTCTTCATTTAAAGGTAAATATCAATAAATAATTTCTTATATTATGATTTATATCATGTACCTATTAACTTATTGAGTTTAACATATATTTTATAAAGTAAAGTTAGATAAGGGTTTACCATTGTTTTTGCCACCTTATAGAATATCATTTATGTATAATTATGTTTTAAGTATAAACTACAGGCTAAAGATTTCTTATGATGTTTACCTATATATATTAATTAATTAGTTTTATAGATCTATTGAGCAAAATGAGAGATTTAGCTCACAAATATTTGTTTACGCTCAAAACTGAAAACTATTTCTAGAAAAAAATTATCCCTGCAAACCACCAAAAACGTCCTAGGGTTTTAGGGCTGCAACAACTAGATATCTACGTAACAAGCGAAGAACTTTTGTGTCCCCGCAAAACAATTCCAAATTAGCCATAACTTATTATACATAGAAATAATTTTACGATGCTCAATCGTATTATTTTATAGTACGCAGCATAAAAGCAGTTCATTGTGTGCCCATGATATTAGTTTTGCAAAATATATGATATTATTATAAAGTATACATCACGAACACTGCGCACGCATGATTTTTGCAATGATAATTTACCACACGTTGCTCTACGAATACAATATTATAATGGAACTGTTAAAATTCAAACAAAATTGTACTTAATTAAAACAATACAACATACTAGGTTTCGTATGGCGGAAATGGATATCAAATGATCGAGAAATTCTCAGTGTAATATTATGTAATAGTATACCAGGCAGAGACGATACTCAGATGTTCACATATTATTTATAATTATTACCTATATTTTATTAGGTACTAAACACATGATTATTACGTTAAATAATGACGTGATCGTGATATTTTAGGATTAAAAAAATATTATATAATTGATATAGTAGTGAACACACGCGAATTGTCGATATATATATATATATATATATATACTCGTATATCAAAACTAACTCGAATAATATATACTTTAAAGCTGTATACTATTATTCTAAAATTTTAAATTTTCCAGTACTCCGTTAACTGAATTAATTATGGAACCTATAATGGTTAAATATTTGTTACTCCGTATTATTATTATTTTTTTAATCGTTTTAACATCGATAAATTATTACTCACCAGCTTTTTATATTAAATATAATACTGGAAAAAAATAATCCACTGTAGCTACAATAAATATTTTTCCAATCATAATACTCTAGTAATATTACTAATGTCCCTAATAATTATTGATCGCTATTCGCTAGCAAATAATTTCAAATGACGCTTGCATTCTCAGTCTGCTGCTTTTTGATGCCTTTAAGCGCAAACCTATAAATCTGATAAAATGTTATACTAAAATAATGAAATAATAATTATCAAAAGATTATAAAACATTTCGTACCTAAGATTAGGTTATATACTGATTAGTATAGTATATATATTTTGTATTATATTGGACACAAGTCACTTATGAATCTAAGTTAAAGATCTATAAGTGTCCGCTTAAATAAAACGTACTACAGGTTTACAGCACTTGAATATATTTTATTTCTTAAGTGTAACGACGCCTTTTAAACTAATAGTTATATCTGAACTTGTACTTTAATTGTTGGATTTTAATAAACGAGATGGAGTCTTGGCCTCGGTGATACGATGTCATTATTAAACGAATTACCCCTTATATAATATATTTAAACTACCTACATCTGTTTTTATATCACTTGTTTAATTATAAGCTCATAATAAACTTAAATTAATCATAATTATACCACAATATAAAAAATAAATTATGCTTATATTGCAATGTTTTATTCTCGAGCTGCATGAACATCATTCGTTCCAGGAATCACCATTCTTTCATACTTGCCCAGCACTGACTCTTTTTTCAAACTTTGTCTGTACTTATTATACCTCAATTCGTCATAATTGTCATCAAAACAATTTCCTAGTTTCTAGTTATTATAATAATATTTCCATCAACGGCCTGTGTAAAGTATATACTTCCACATAAACAAGCACATGTCAATTCGACGATCAACTAAAACAACTAAACAAATATTCAATTTATAGGTTTTTCAAACATGTAATCTAGATATTATAAATATAATAAATTTGAGTAAATGTGTTAATAATTATGGGGTAGTTTAAGCCCTTTGTTTATATTTTACTGTATTTATAAAATAATAGTTTATTTTAAAGCCTAGTATCTCCATATATTATGTTTAATTTAATTAGAGCACACACCTAAAGGCCACATATATAGGTGGCTCCATCTTTTGCACACGAGTATCATGATGTACGGCAGAATGGATTAACTGATGTCCACTAGACTGTGTAGATAAAATAGTTGTGAATTTAATTTGTGAGTAACACAATTTCGATTGAGTTTAAAATGATTCAAAAATAACATTTCAATATAGTTTTAATAAAATCCACATTCTCCGATGTATTTATGTGAATATTGTATGTTATGAAAAAAAAGAAACAATTAATTATTTTTTACAAAAATATGAGTTTTTACGAAATGTAAACACATACTCGTAGGCAATATGTTTTACTTTAAACTTACTATTTTTATTTAAAAATTGCTGTTAATGACAAAAAAAAAAAAATTCTATCATAGACCAAATATTTTTTCGTAAGCCTTGGTAATTTTTTCATATAGATCAATACATAGGAATACATAAAATTACCGTAAATTTTATATTATATATTATTTATGACGTATAACGTGTACAACAAATAAATTCAAAATTATTACTATTTTTTTTTTTTTTTTTTTGTTCTTTTCAACGACCTACTTTATTATAATTTGATTAGTATCTTTTAATAGATATATACAACAATACAATTTTATGAAATTATCATGATTTTAAAAAATCGATACACTTTAAATTTAAAAAATACTAGATAATAACTTTCTAATATTTTGTTATATATGTCTATAATTGTATGGCAAAATTGATCATGAAAGAAAATGTATTTCAAACATTATAGCAATACTGTAAAACCTTACCTCATACAATCTGTGTGAAAAAATTAATACGATAATTAGATATTTATAAAAACTGGAGAATTAATTATCTTAAATTTACTAATCATTAATAATAAAATGATTAAATAATTATGAATTTTTTTTTAAAGAATGATTTATTAATTATAATAACATTTTTGTTATAAAATTTGATAATTTTTTTTTTGAAAAAGTGTTGTTAACTAAACAGTTGTTGAATGTGTATGTAATTATTAATAATATGTTAAAAATAATTTTAATTAGTTTTTTAATATTAATAATTTTAATAATTACCAATCATTTTTTGCTTCTTTTTTTTTCACAGACATATTACAAGTTAAGCAAATGTACATAATCTATAAATTTTTAAATATAAATTAAAGTATTAAAGCATCATTAATTAACAAGTTTTTTGACCACCATTTTTTTTCCAATACAATACGTGTATAAAATATGAATATATAATTCATTTCACATAGCATACTAATTACTATTACTGATGATTGATGTTATAAAAGTAGAGGCACATAGAATTTTTGTAAACGTAATTAAATACATAGTTGATAATTTTTAAAAGTGCATAGCATAATGAAGTACAATACTGGACGGATCGACGCCGTACGTAAAATATATGTTAATTGTTTCATTTAATACGATTATGCTAAGTGATATATAGTAGTAGTATAACAATTATCGGTCTGTTGAGAAGTTTTCAAATCGTTCCGCTCGAGGTGCATTACCTTTTTACAAATTGATTATGTTGTAATCAAACAGAAGGCAATTATTAAGCGTACCTGTATAATACTTGTTTACAACGACTGAAACTTCTTATACTGAGTACTGATATTATATGATTATATTTTATTTGTTGAAAATAATCAACAAAAGGAACATTAAAAAAAAAAAAACTTGTCATGAGAAACAAAAAATTGTTTGTTCATAATAAATTTGGTTTATAGGCCGCCAACATCGTTTTGAATAAGTACCTAGCTATAACAATTATTATTAGTCAGTACTAAAAAAAATTAAATAGCAAAAAGAAAAAAAATATTTATTAATGTTACTAATAATTAATTTTAATATTATACAATATTACATGTCTTTTAAAATTCATATTTTTTATTCATTGTATAAGTATAATCTATCTCATAAAATAAATAATAAATAATTACCAACACAAATACCTACGCCAATTTTATGTATACATGATGAATACCTACTGATTTTAACATAATACTATAAATATTTAAAATAACTTTAAACAAACAAAAATTAAATGACTTTTTCGCACAGAACAACGATGCGATATGTAGATAAATAATTTACCATTAAAATATTTTACTCATATGATATGTGACTCGAATCCCTTTTAATAAATGCGCTAATTCGAGTGTTTTCTCATAGGCGCCGTAGGGATTTTAAGCGGCACACGTAGACGCGTAATATATTATTATGACTGCAGAATACTGAAGACGACATTTACCTAAACCGCAGAGTACAATGCGCTTATTCAACCAACCACCATTTACCGAGTACAACACACACGCTGCATACACAGACACCGATTATAGATTTATCCTTTATTTATAAGTTTATAACCATCGCATAATAACCATCCTTAAATTACCGACTAAAACAAGGGTAATATATTATGCAACATAAGTTAAACAGCTACTTTTAGCACCTCTAAATTTTCACATTAAATTGTTTTATACATACATGTATACAGTCGCGTTCAAAATTATTGTGTGACAATTATTACTGTTGTCGCGATGTGATGTAATAGTATATTATAATATATACAACGTATACTAATTTTGCTTTGCTATAAAAACCAATCAATTAATGCGTTTGTGTATACACACATACACACACATACACACACACACACACACACACATACACACAAATTACATGTTTAGGTAGGTGTGATACTTGCGTATTACAATAAAACAATGTGATGATGTTATGCGACCTGATTTCGCACCTAGAGCACTTACCCAAATAATAACAATAATAAATCGTTTTTTCGTAAATCCTACATTGTATTCGGCTTTCATAATATAAATTGGGTAGGTACCTATATTATACCTGTGGTAAAAAATGCGATCCGAAATCGGAACGTTGTTATAAAATGATGTATGACGCAATCCAAACAACCTAACCAGCTTAAAAAAATATGTTATATTTAATTTATATTTTTTTCCTTGATAAAAACAGCTTGTACCTATTATACAAGCGAATACTGCGATAGTAATATACGTTATCAAAGAAAATATGCAAATAGGGTCGTTTCAATTGAATCGCGTACACGATACGTACGCGTCCGGTTCCGCAACTCAAAGTGTTGCGAGACGATAACACAAATATGATATATTATTCTACCATTTGGTCACAAAAAGTATGCGAAACGCGGACGGTTCCGATGAAATTTCAAGAAAAAAAATTACAACCCACAACCACAGTTCAAGTGTAATAGGTATTTGAAATACATATTCGGTGTGATTTACTACTGTATCTTGTCTGCATAGTGTAGGTATACTATAATATTATCTATTGTACAGTACATAAATATATAATACAACATCGTTATTGTTGCGTGATCACGATATCATATAATGTAAATATGGAAATAAAACATTTGGAACTACATCTGAAAGCGATGGAAACGATTCCATGAATACAGCCGCCATGCGAAGACTACAACAGCCGACTGTACCAATAATGTTTATGTTCATTTAATAACATTATTATTTTTGACGACATGAAATGTATTCATAAAATGATATTCTGAAAAAAAAAAATCATAGCTACCTATATTAAAATTACGATGTTATAATAACATCCTAATATTTCATAAAACATAGCAGAACATTAATACATAATATATTAAACGTAAGTTAGGTATATGTTTTCACTTTACATTGAAAATACATTAGTGTTTCTGCATGATAAATAATTCCTTACATAAATAGCTCTGGCAGAAAATAAGCCTGAATATTTTATAGCTTAATATTATTTAGTGTTATTAAAAGCACTCATGAATTTATAATAAAATTTAAACTTTTACCGATAAAGTTAATTAACCAAAAAAAATTTAATGAGTTTAATTTTTATTTAATATCAAAGTTTATAATTATAATACAATTAATAAAATATTAATAGTAATTAATTATAAACTAGATGTATATAACATGAAAATATTTCATATTTATTCAATAATCATAATGATTTTTAATAATTGACACTGTACAGATAGGTACTCGTAAATATGCGACAATACGATAACACATATAAGATATTAATACGTTTTATTGTTTTTATTATGATAACCAATTAAACAATTTCATTTTTACAATGTTTATTAATCATATGCTATTATTCTACTATTTTTAGGTAAGTAGCTACTGAAAATTTAAATAAGTTTCCTTTAATTAAGTCTAACAGTAAAATGCATATCAGTAGATGTTTTAACCGTCCAACGACGTACAATGTATTAATGTATAGGTGATTTTCGTTTAAATATATTCACATAAATAGTAATATTCAAAGTGATTCACTAACTATACTAACCTCTTTTTTTTATTTAATAATAAAATAATACAAAATTTGACTTTTGGAATTTTTAGATATTTTTAAAGACTATAATTTAAAATTCTCGAGATTTTTTCGTACTATTTAAATGAATGTTATGTGGAGGTATACATTTTTGTTATTTTCAAATGAAAGCTCCTTTCATAATGTAAACTAGTAAATTATTTTGCATTTACAGTTAACTTTTTTGAATATTAAGTCATTAAGACCAAAATTTAAACAAGTAGTTTTTGTGTTACATACATTTTTTATGTTAGTACAATAGTGTTCAAGGCTATTATCTTTAATATAAACATTTCAATAACTCAAAAACTACTCATTTGAATGTTGAATTAAGTACATCGATGTTACGATAAAATAAGGAGGAGGTATCATTTTAAGTACACAAAATTATATCGCTATAAGGAATGAGTTAGTAAATACAAACGAAAAAATCAAGAATTTAAAATTATATAGTATTTTAGTATATTGTAGATGAATCAGAATTTGAATAAACCTATTATTTAAGAAAAAATGAGAATGAACGTAATTGGTGTATCACTCTGTATAATATTACATTATTCTAAAAAGCTTTGACTCCCACCCATGCATGTTGACACACAAAAATTGTCCATATGGGTACTGTCTATACTGTCTATCACCATTATACTGACCCCGCTGTGCAATGGTTCGCACGCGTCGTATATGTTTCGCGCGCTAGTCATTGTTTGTACAACGCTCTTCACCGGGTCGGTAGCGGGCGTGTGTGTACGTAAAAATAAATTTATAACAAGGAATATAATATGATAATATGTAACAAAACCCATCTCCATCAGTGCATTTGAACAAACACTACAGCGCGCTTGCGTATGCGCACGCACTCACAGACGTCGAAGTAAACTCGCGTTAAACACAGTACTTATCGTAACGGTGGTTCGACGTGTACATCATATTAATATCATATTATTATAATACCATTAAACGACAAAAATTGTTATTATATTAAAATAGTTACCTCGCGATTGAATAATATCATGCTGGTACCCGGTGAATTTCCTACGTCTACTCGCGGGTCACCGACTCCGTCTCCGCTGTAGTCGTTCGAGTGATGACGATCCCAGACACCCGCCATGTGACGTATCAGTTCGCCGACATTTTGGACTCAATGCAACGATGACCGCGACCAGATACTTTACCGTGGACTCGGTGGTCCAACAAGTACAGCCGGCAGCCTCCACCACACCTACCACAACCTCCACAACGACTATAAACCTCAACACCGAGATTCCGAGCCACGAACGCGATGGTATCGTGCAGGTTGTAGCTGGTTATAACCGCGATCGTGAACAAATCGCCGCCACAGTCGAGTCCTCATCTCTTCTCCAGCCTACCGCAGACAATCAACCGACGTCCGTTCATCACACTCCTGTAAGTAAATTTAAGCTGCACATGAACAGCATACTCGTGGTTGTCTTAACCCTAGCTGTTGGTCAGCAGTTAAGTCAATAAGAAACACGTCAAGTTACACATTTTATACACAATAACCACTAGACTATTGTGTTATCCGACATATTAATCAAAAACACTTTGTTACCTACGTATAATTGTGATATGTTATCATTATTAAAAACAAACGAAGGAACAACACTAAAACAGTGGAATTCATTGATTTCACACTCAAGTTTTCAAATTTCACAATTTATTGATTTAAAACTGTAATATCATATACATTGCATAATTTTTTATACTAAAATCATGACATTTTTATCATAATTTTGCGTTCGAGCATATTTTTTACCATATTTTAATTGCGGGTTTACTATGCAAAAGTCACCAGTTGATTCAATAAATAAAATATTCCAAGGCTCTAAACATTTTCAGAATAAGTATTATATTATAAAGTATATTTTTTTAAATTGTATATCATTATGTTAAGCACGCCATTGACGTTTGTTGTTTGATGTGACGATGAATGTATTGGTTTTATAACAAGATGTGTGCCTCTTTTTTCTATCTTTACCATGATTACTTTTCATAAACGTAAGTAAAACATATTGTAAATAATGACTCAGTAAGTGATGAGTGATGACCAATAAAGATGGAGATAAAATTATATTTTTGGGTGACAAGAAAACCGAATATTACTAACAATAATAGAAAAAATGATAAATATTCAAATAAAATATAAAAAAAAAAAAAATGGAGATAAACGAGTTAGTCTTGATTTATTGCTTATGATACAGCTTTTAAACCAATATATTACGCGATATCAATATAAAAAAAAACATTTTAACATTTTTAATTATAAATATTATAGTATTACCGTAACTATAGTAAATAATAATAGCTACGATATTTATTATTTAATTTTTACAATATTGATAATATTTTTGTTATCCTAAATCGAACAAAAATAACCTTTTTCTTATAAATGTTAAAGTTTGATCAATTTTTGTTAGGTTATAGATTTACCAAGTTAATGTGACCATTTCGTATCTTTCAACAAAACTGTAATCATTACTTTTTCAGTTTTAGCATTTCAATGTAAGGTTCACTTACTTGTATATACCAAATATATTTATTATTTTTTTCTATCGATCAATTTTGTATTACTCAACGCCCGTAATGCAGCGCGTGCACCGAAATGTGTATCAGGATGAGAATACGTGTTATTTGGATTGACATAAACTATATATTGTATATTTATGCATATTTTTTAGTGTATCTTTATGAAAAAAACGTCAATAATAATAATAATAATGATAATAAAACATACAGTTCTTCAATAACTAAAATATAGTAATATATTCTACAATTGTGTCTGAGTATACATACAATATGTAATATTATGTTTAATATTTGAATAAAGTGAAATATGCAACAGTGCAACACGATGAAAAGAAAATGAGTTTTAGATTTTATTTTCAAATCACTTTTTAATGGTACCGATTTTCAACGAAATTTATAACTCAATAATTTACTTTTTAATACTAAATAGTATATGGCGAGTATTTAAATAATATAGCCGAGGAAACATAATCGCTCAACTTTTCAAAAATGCGTCACTTTCCTTCTCAAAAAGTAGATTGCAAACTTCTTAAATGCAATAAAATATAAAATTATAAATGCATATTTTCTTTATTTCATAAACTCCTTCAATACCGTTTCATTTTTAAGTGCTGTTGCTTCCACTGGTAACATAGATTTACCTGATCATTTCTTGTTTGTTTATTTTTTTTTACATTTTTTGAGTGTAGTAACATTCTATGCAAGATATGAAATACAAATTTTAACATTATTATCATTTCACTTATAACATGTTACATCAAAACTACGACCTAAAAACGTTTACTCAATATCGCCTGAAAAACATAATTGTGAATATTAAAATGTGATATGCCTTAAAGACAGCTATATTTAAAAAAGAATTATCTGAGTTTTCAATCCAAAAGTGTTTGAAAAATATTGTTCTTCAGCGCACGATCACTATTTAATCACTCACAATATATAAAATGTCTCATCACAATTTAATTAAGCACCAATGGTGAATATTAAAAAGTATAAACTATTAAATTAAATAGTATAAGGCTTTATTATGTAAAACTAAAAAAATATCATTATCTATAAACAACCAACAAATAATTAATTATTTAATTTTGTAAAATTATATTATACATTTATTTCAGCCATCTAAAAGCATGATTATGTTATAAAGAGTAAACAAATAATAATGATGTAATAACTAATAAAAGAGCAATAAATTCTTAACGTTTCCATAGCTGCAAGACATATGTTATACATCTGATCTTTGTATACATGTATAGCATACATTTTTATTTTATTGGTATATTTTGTATTTATAAAAAAAATGCTTGAACTTGTAAAATAATATCATACATATTATACTCCCATATTTGTTAAACAAAAGAGTTGACTGGTGTGTATGTAAATTTTACATCATAAAAACAAAGATATCAAATATCAAATATATTTTATATGATGTATGATGTATTTTACATACGTATATTTTATTTTTTTTGTGGTTTAATAATTAATACAAGTATCTCGCGTGAATGGTAAAATATTTATGTTTATGACTAAGTGTAAACTAAAAATGAAGTAAAATACTAAAATGACATAATGATTATATTATTAACAATAATGCTGAAAATACGAACTTCTATATAAAAATGTAATTAAATTTAAGCAGAACAATCAAGATTAATAAAACAGGACGTATCTCCAAGACTTCCGCACTAACTAAAATTTTTATGTTCGTATAATCGTATATTCCTAAAATAATAAAATTTAATAGTTATCATAATTGTGCAATAAATATGCGCACCTATTAAAAATGTTCAGATTTTTTAACGACAATATTGCTACAACTTAAAAATTTCCAACACAATGTTCTTAATAAGTAATAATAAAAATAATAAATTGTATTAATTATACAGTGAACCCATAACAGTCACTGTAGTCGGAAAAAAAATAATAAGCATTTAAATAGGTAAGTAAATAACTCTAAAAGAAACTACTTTTTTCTTGTTAATAATTTTACTTCTTTTTTTCTTTTTCTTTTTTTTTTTTTGTTAAACAAAGTCAAAAATATTTTCTCTTAATAAACATTATATTCATTATTCATAATTGAAACGAAAAACTTATATTTCAAACAGTATTATTATTTCACTTTAAGCGTTTTTTCCCCCTACTGTCAATGTATACGTTTTATTTTCATGATGTCAAAGAGAAGAGTTTTTATTTCACGAAATGTATTTTCTTATTTTGACATTTCATATAATCGTTGACAAAGTATGAACCAAGACCAGTCTTCCTAAAATCCCGACATAGTATTTATCAATTTAGATATTAGGCTATAAGTTCAGTGCTATTTTAGCCTTTAGTCCATTTTATCAGCTACCGCATACATGTATATTTTTGTAATAAATTTAACGTTTGCTTCAAAATGTTAAATAAATGAAAAGGTATGCTAATCAAATAACCTAGAATATTATGTCAAAATGATTATTTTTATCGATATACCCTACCAATAGTATTCAGATAAAACATTAGTATTTGGTAGGTTAATCATTATATTTAAAATAATATGTATAAACACATCTAAAGTTAATTAGTACCAACCGACATCATAAACTGACCATTCTCTAATAAAAAAAATGTACACTTATATAATTGCCAAATTTTAATATATTATCAAATATTTTGTCTATTATTTTAAGAATATCTGATCTATAGAAATTATTTTAAGATATATTATATGTACGATTTACGAAGTAATAAAAATTATGAGTTTTAAATTGATTAATTAATTTAACGTATATATCATAAGTTATAACAGTATATACCAATATACCTAATAATATTTATCATATAAAATCATTTATGCGATTTGTATTTATTATGTTTTAAACGTCACAACATTGTTGCAACGAAATTCCTGACAATCCGTTCAAAGAACAAGTATAGCAATTTACAATATAAATTTATAATTTTTCAAATAATCAAATTTAATGTTTTTTTAAAATATAATAAGTACAAACACTTATTTATATCTTTAAAATATTATTATAATATATATATATATTTATACAATCCTATGTATAAAGATTCACAAAATATCTTCTTTTGACGTTATAATAATACGACCACACAGGAATTGTTTTTGCTTGTTAAAATGTTTCGAATCTTTATAAACCTTACTCGTTCACATTAAACACGCCGATTTTAAATAATATGCAGTAAGTAGCTCATACATTATATTTAATACCATACATAACTATTTACTATTTTGGCTTACATACCTTTTGTTTTTATGTATACAAATTTGAAGGATTGTACATCATTTCTAAATGAACTATTACTATAAATACGAGTTTTTGTTCTTAAAACGTTAAAATAAATATAAATTTTATTGTGTTTTAAACCTTCAAACCTTATATCTATTTACCGACATAACAAATCAATAAAGACTTGAATAAAATAAAGCTAATACTGAGTTATCAGTAATTGTCTATTCGCTCACTTCAATTCAGAATAGTTTTGTATTATTTTATAAATTCCTACATTAAAAGTAATAATGAATAATGATTTATATAACATAACAGATTACAACAACCTATTAACCAAGAAAATATTAAATTAAATCACAATTACCAAGATTTTTCTTCAAATTTCGCATAGTAGCTTCTTTGTAGTACCAATTTCATTGAACGAAAAACAATTACTCTTATATAGTGCATATTACACTAGAAATGTTTAAAAACTAACTCGAGTCCACTAATAGAAATTATACCAAATTATTTCTACCTTCAATCAGTAACTATATAAATAACTTAAACATAAAATTATTAATCAATACATTTTATGCTTATGTTTATGAACTATGTACATATAGATATATTTTTATA